CCCTTGCTCTCCCAACCGCACCCCACCCCTCTCGCCCCCACCAGCTACATCGCACCCACCATCATCCGAGACGTGCCTCTGGACGCGCCAGTGATGCACGAGGAGGGCTTTGGACCCGTCATCGCTGTCATCAAGGTGTGTGCGTAGGTGCTGTGCGGTGCAGTCAGGTGCTGCAAGGTGTTGAGGTGCATGCAGTAATGCAGGAGGAGGGCTCTGGACCCTATCATCACCGTTCTCAAGGTGTGTGCGCAGGTGCTGCCAGGTGCGTTGGTGCGGCAGGCAGCGGTGAAAATGCATGCTAGCAGTGTGGAAGCGACAATTGAACCATGACATGCATGCTGAATCCAGGTCCCGCAGATCTAGTAGTCACCGGCATATCATGCCGTTTCTGAGGTGCCTTTAAAATCCTCAAACAAAAAAAAGAGGCGCCTCGAATCGCATGCTGAATCCAGGTCCCACAGATTTTACCATTGTCACTCACTCGCATACCATGCCGTTTCACAGTGATTCATGTCATGTACGTGCATCGAGTGATACACCCTCATCCCCACGTGTGCACAGCCGCGGGCCCGCAGTCCTTGAAACGATGCACTGAAAACACACAAGCTCTCTCTAGCCATGGTCACGTTTCCATCTCAATCATGGGGTGCATCTCTTAAGCGCACATACCTACCAAAGTTGATGCAGGTAAGGCCTCCGCCCGCCGCAGCCCACCTGTCCAACATTGACAAGTCCGTTTCACGGGGATCCATCATGTGCATGCAGTGACACACCTCCATCATGTGCATGCAGTGACACACCTCCATCGCCACGTGTGGACCACCGAGACCACCGCAGTGATACACCTCTCCTTGTGTCCTGCTTATAACAGGGATCGTTGCTCGAGCAGGTGTCAACCAGCCCGGTGCCCACTTAGAGGCGTTTGATCGGTGTCACTCTCATCTTCTTTGATCGGTGTCACTCTCATCTTCTTTGATCGGTGTCACTCTCATCTTCTTTGATCGGTGTCACTCTCATCTTCTTTGATCGGTGTCACTCTCATCTTCTTTGATCGGTGTCACTCTCATCTTCTTTGATCGGTGTCACTCTCATCTTCTTTGATCGGTGTCACTCTCATCTTCTTTGATCGGTGTCACTCTCATCTTCTTTGATCGGTGTCACTCTCATCTTCTTTGATCGGTGTCACTCTCATCTTCTTTGATCGGTGTCACTCTCATCTTCTTTGATCGGTGTCACTCTCATCTTCTTTGATCGGTGTCACTCTCATCTTCTTTGATCGGTGTCACTCTCATCTTCTTTGATCGGTGTCACTCTCATCTTCTTTGATCGGTGTCACTCTCATCTTCTTTCACCCAGTGGTGACAAGGTGCAAGCCCTTAGAGGCTTTCGATCTTGACGTCCTTCCTTCCAGGTGCAAGGCGTGGTGATGTAGTAGACACATCATGGCTCAAGCCTCTGTTGCCCTCTGTCGATATCAAGCCCATCCTCCCTCCCCTCCCCTCCCCTCCCCTCCCCTCCCCTCCCCTCCCCTCCCCTCCCCTCCCCTCCGGAATGACGCTCTTCCAGGTGCGAGGTGTGGACGAGGCAATCAGCATCATAGCCAGCCGCCCCAAGCCACTGGCACTCTATCTGTTCACAACGCACAGCACCGTGATCGACCGCTTTGTCAAGGAGACCTCGTCGGGGGCTGTCTGCGTCAACGACACCACCTCGCATGTGAGCATTGGGCCGCTCCCTCTCCTCTCCACACCCTCAACTTCCCTTTTTCAGTGGTCCTTGTCTGTTTGTCAGTGTGGCGGCAGAAATAGTACCAGCTCCCTCACTCCTGTATATGCGTTCCCGCTTCTGCTCCGTTCTCACTTTCATGTGCTCCTGTTTCCGACTGCACAACTCCAATTGGCTGTGCAGTTTGTCAATCCAGCGTTGCCATTTGGTGGAGTGGGAGACAGTGGTATGGGCAGCTACCATGGGAAGCACTCGTTTGACTGCTTTAGCCATCGCAAGGCGGTTATGGTGAAAGGCACCCTGCTGGACTTCCCAGTTCGATACCCTCCTGGTAGCCCATTCAACGAGAACCTTGTGAAAGCGCTCATGAATTTGTGGTTTGTACAGCTAGTTCTAGTCATTTTAGGCCTGAAAAGTAGCCAGTAGTTTTTACAGATTGTTCACAGAAGTTGGAAATATGTAAATAGTTACAGTTTTCCTATCGTTTAGGGTCGCCAGATTTGCTGGTACATTTTGTCCTCAGGCATCTCCATTCGGATTCGCGGGGTTCATAATAGACCAACTGAAACCAATCAAGTGTCTTCAATGCGGCCACGTCAGCGTCAAGCCCATATACACCAGCCAATTTGCCGCCACCACTCAAGTTGGCGGGAACGATCAACACGTAACGGTAACGTGGTCAGCTAACTTTGCCTTTTTGTCCTGTCTCCTCCGCGTTTCTTGGAAATGAGACTCCGATTTTTTTCGCTCCTCAAGTTTGTCATCGCTTGATGGGGTAAGGGCGCATTCTTGGCTGGTGTCTGACAAGCGGTCAGACACGAAGTGAAGTTGAGGAAGACCCGAAGTGACCTCAAACTCAGGCAAATCAATGTTCGGAAGACCCGAAGTGGGCCACTTCGGGTCTTCCGAACTCCATCCAAGCCTCCACTTCGTGTCTGAAACGAGTTAAGAAGATCCTAAGGGCGCATTCGTAGCCCGTGTCAGACTCAGGTCAGACCCGAAGTGGAGGCTCGGAAGACCCCAAGTGGCTCGTTTGTGAGGCAAATCCTGAGCCCAATTGGAGACTAAGGGCTTTTGACCTGAAGTCTGACACGGGCCACGAATGTTCCCTAAGGCACAATCAAATGGTCTTGTCGGGCTGAAGAAACATCTGCTGACCATTCGTTGCCAATGCGGGCAGACCAGCGAAGCAACCAGTCTGTTGTAAAGTGCCAAATTCGCTCACTCATTCTGAAATGATCACAGCATTGTTCCTTCTTGACACTTGTTTCTGGCATGTGTGCAGAAAATGTTGCACAGAAACCGGACAGCACTCAGTGCAGCATTTGGATTTCCCCAAGAGTTTCACTGTTTTTAGCATCAGATTCACAGGGTGACTAATCGACGTTATTAACGGCATCGATTATTCCGTTCCATCCCGTAGATGGCAAGGCAATACTGTGTTGTTGCCAAGGTGGGCAGCGGGCAACCAATGTCGGATTGGTCGCTCGCGACATGACGAGTTTTGTTGCCATGTCACCCGCCACTGATGCCAGTGGGCAATGAAACGTTGTTCCGACCCTGGAACAATCCTGGACAGTCCAGTCGACACGAGCAGCTGCGGAACAGATGTTTGTGCGTGCGACCCCACCCCGTTTCATACAGACTGCTGGCCGACGAGACGACATCCTGCCCGTTTCAGCAGTTTCGCGGCTGTGTTAACACCCAGGGTCGCTGCAGCGAGTCAGAATCGCATGCATAAACAAATGTGGTTTCTCCAAAACTTGACTCTTACCTGCCTGCATAACGAAACGCAGGACGTCTTTGGTACGAGTGCACGGGACGAATTGTCCGCTCGTTACTTGTTCCATGAGGAAGGGGGTGAATATAAGGGGCACGAAACAGGCCACAAGCAGGTGAGCTGTACGTGGAAGTATTTTCAGAAATGTCAGGCGCTGGTTGGGTAAGAACACAAAGTATCCCCTGAGGACCGACCTGCAGCAACAAATTTGCAACCCATAAACGGCATCAAATTCCCAGCGTATTCTCTGTTCACACTACAATTGGCTGTTTTAAATTTCCACCCTCGTGACTGCCCGTTGGCCTCTGACGATTTCCGTCGTCTGCGCGTTATTCGACTCTTTGACCTTTCCCAAGGGCTCGCTCCGCGCCAGTCTCCGCGCCAGTCTCAGCAGTTGGAAAACTCAATGCATTCGCACAAACGATAACACACAGTGAGAAATGTGAGAAGAGTCAACTACACCCTGTTTCGCGCTAGCAGAGCATCTGGTTGCAGAACATTCACTGGTTGTAGAACGTCACCACGTTTGAAATGGTCTTATCACCGACGGTACAAGCACATTCACAAGAAAGCGGTTAGCTAGGATGCTGCATTGTAAAGAACATTAACCAAGCGTTTCAAAGCGGTTGAAAAGGGTATACAGCGATAAAGAAAATTTTTGCCCCCAGTACCACTCCGTCAGCTGGTGCGGCTTTGCCCGCAGGTTTCAGCCATACGGTTTATGGCACCTGACCGCACTGTAGCAGCGAATCGCGCAAGGTGAGAGGGTCGAGAAACAGGGTGTATTCGTGCTTCGAAAAAACCTTCCATCTCGTTGAATATCACTTGAGCAAAGAGTGTCCGCATACACATACACACGCTTTGGGGGCAAACAGCTGTCAAACGGGGTTTCGAGGTGTGGATTGCGTGGGCAAGCACAACATGGCAGTTCAGCTTCTCATTTTGCTGATTAAAAAGCTTGTCAATCGCAGGCTGTCACTATCGTCGTACCCTTCACTTCAGTAGACCCTGCCGCCTGCGTTCCAGAGGGTCAGACGACCTTTATACGTCGCCCGCATTGTAGTCTCGATAGGAAGGGCTTCCAAATTCCTACATATTATGCAACCCTATTTTGAGATTAGCCTTCGTTCCAGAGCACGCCCATTCGCGGCCAGACCTGCTTGGTTGCAAGCAACTGCACATGTCTGTTCCGGCTCGCCTTTACAATAACCGTCGATTTGTGTAGTTCCCTTCACGTCGTTTCCATCAGGTGAGCTCCATTCACGGGATTCTTCGCCGCATTGCGTGCTACGAGCCGCCTCGCACTAGCTGCTTCTCGCCTTTCTTCAAAATGCGCTGACGCGGCATTGCGAGACTGGTATCACCTCCTGTTGCCTTTTTAGTCAACTCAAAAGTCGACTAGCATCGCCTCCTGTTGCCACCGTATTCTCCGTAACCGCCTCGTTTCGCCATGGCCTCGCAACAAGGCAACGCACCGCTTTCGCCAACGCGCGCGATGTCGCCGAAGCAGCAGGTACAGTCGCACAACCAGCTCGTCGCACGGCTCCAGTCGCCCTCCGCCGACCCCGCCTCCCTTCCGCCCTCCTTCCTCAAATACCCCATCTCGCACCTTCGCGCCAAGAATGTCACCATCCCCGCGGATTTCTTCTGCCCCATTTCGCTCGACATAATGCGCGACCCGGTTACCGTCGCGTCGGGCCGGACCTACGAGCGCGACGAAATCGAGCGATGGTTTCGCGAAGGAAACCGCTATTGTCCGGCTACCCGCTGCGCACTCGAAGACCTGCATGTCGCCCCTAACAAATCCCTTCGCAGCATCATTTCCGCCTGGTGCCTCGGACATGGCATTCGCCTCTCTGCTACCCCATCCGCCGCCGCCGCCGGCGGTGGAGGTGGGCACGCGAAGGGGGGCAGCGGAGAACTTATTCAGAATGCCGCTGGCGGAAATTCTGGCGGGGACGCGGGCTCCGCGCATCCCACCATCTCCCCGCGCGGGGTGCTGACTCCCCGCAGCGACTCCTACACTGGCCGCGGAGAGCAAGCCCCGCGCGCGGAGCGTTCCGCCTCGCGCGGCGAGTCGTATCCCGCGCGGCCCCTGACCGGGGACAGTTACGAGGCACCTCAAAGGTCGGCGCGCCCGCTGTCGGGGGAGCGCCACGCGGAGCCTTACTCCGCCCGCCCAGCCTCGGGGGAGCGGCACCAGCGGCGCGGAAGCGTGTCATCCGATCGGGAGAGCGGAAACCTCAGCAGCGGCGGAAGCAGCACCACCAGCGGCGCAAGCAGCGGCAGCATCAGCCTAGTGTCGAACAGCAGCGCCAGCAGCGGCGGGAGCGGCGGGAGAGCAGGCGGAGGGGGAGGCGGAACCGGAACCGGCGGAAATAATTTCTGGCGCAGCGCGTCGTCTTCCGATCGTCCGCTTTGCCCCATCTGGCCCGTGTCGTCCCCGCTCGCCTCCCCCACGCACTCCCCCACCCGCGCCGGCGCGGCGCTCAGTCCCTCCTCCGCCTTAACCGGCGGCGGTAGCAGCAACCCCCTGCTTAGCCCCACGCATCCCGGCTTCAGTCCGACTTACCCCGCTGTTAGTCCGACGCACCGCGGCGCCGCGCACAGCCCCACTAGCTCCATGCAGCTGAGCCCCACGCGCGCGCCGCTCAGTCCGCTGCCCGCGTATCTCGGCGCGGGCAACGGCGCGCACGACTCGTGGAACGACTGGAACCACTACCCGGGCCGCGACGAGTGGAGCGGCCCGCAGCCGCGCCGCGTCGACTGGTCCGGGCCGCAGCCGCGCCAAGCGTCGCGGACCGGCGGGGCTGCGACAGCGGGGGGAGGCCGGACGGGGTCAGGAGGAGGAGGGGGAGCGGGAGGGGGGAAATCGGCCGGCGGGAAAGTGGGGCCCAGCGGGCGGGGGGCTCTAGGGCCAGCGGGTGGGGGAATTGGCGGAGCAGGTGCGCGGGCGGGGGCCCAGGGGAGCGCGGGGGGCGTCGGGGGCGGCGGAAGCAGCCAGCAGCAGCAGGTGGTGGCGGCGGCGCAGCAGCGGTTCTTCTCGGAGCGGCTCGACCGGCACCAGCTGGCGCTGCTGGCGGCGTGGGACGACGACAGCGACGCGGAGGGGGGCGGCGGCGGGAGAGAGGGGGAGCGGGAGCGGGGGAGAGAGAGGGAAAGGGAGCGCGAGCGGGAACGGGAGAGGGAGCGGGAGAGGAGCAGCCAGCAGGTTTTGGCGTATTTGGCGCACAGCAGGAGCGGCAGCAGCGGCGGCGGCGGCGGTAGTGGGGGAGGGGGAGGGGGCGGGGGCGGGCGGAACGCGCTGAGCAATGCAGGGAAGAGCTACAGCATGGGCGAGCCCGTGTCGCTCATCCCCAGCTCCGCGCCAATGGCTGTAGGCGGCGCTGGCGCTGCTGCAAGCAGAGACGCTAGAATCGCGTATGGCAGGTCGGTCTCGTCGAACCGCATCTCCTCGCCGCAACTCGCGGGGATCAGCAGCAGCGGCGCTGCTGGTAGCGGCGTTGGGGGAGGCGGGGGAGGGCACGCGGCGCGCAGTGCGCGGGGCGGGGAGGACATTCGGCAGACGCACCACTCGCACAGCCACAGCCACTCGTCGCTCTCCGCGTTCGCCTCCCCCCTCACTGCTGCCGCCGCCGCCGTCACCTTCGGCGCCAGTCCCCCCCCCAACCCGAACTCACATCTGAATTTAAATCTAAATCCAGGTGTAGATCCGGATCTGAATCCGAATCTGAATGCCAGCGCGGCGGTCATGATGATGGGGAGCAGGGGGGGCGGGGGGTCGGTGGGGTGCGCGCCCATGGGCGCGCGGGGGGATGGGGAGGCGGAGGAGGGGGAGGACGGGGAGGAGGAGGAGGAGGACGGCGCAGCAGGGACGCTTAAGCGGTGGGCTACCAACCCCACTGATAGGTCTGGCGGCAGTATGAGCAGCAGTGGCAGTGTGGGGGGGAGTGGGAGTGTGGGTGGGGGTGGGGGGGGCAGCAACAGCAGCAGGAGGCCGTGTAGTGCAGGGGCGGGCGGAACAGGCTCGGGGGGTTCCGAAGCAGATGCCGCCGCGGCTCGGTTGGACCAGGAGGAACAGGTCCGGGCCAGGCTTCCGGATCTGGTTCGGCAAATGCTGGGTGGCAGCGCGGGCGGCAGCAACACCGGCAGCGAGGCAGCCTCAACGTTCCTAACCATACAGCGGCGAAGGGCAGCCGAGGAGGTTCGGCACCTGGTTCGGGACTCCCGAGGCAACCGGGCAGCCGTGGTGGCAGCAGTGGGAGGGCGAGCCATCCCAGCCCTGCTCTCTCTCTTCTCATGTGGCGATCCCGATACTGTAGAGCACGCGGTTACTGCCATTCTCAACCTTTCCCTCTCCTCCTCCACTCACTCCCACCTCATCACTCACGGTGCCGTCCCCCGTCTGGTTACCATAGTGACAGCTGGCAACAGAGACACGGGCATGAACGCCGGGGCGGCAGACCCGGACATGCCGCCGAGCCTCTCGCCTCGCTCCGTGTCCCGAACCGCGCGGGAGAACGCCGCTGCGGCCCTCTTTGCGATATCTGCCTCCTCCGAAGCGAATAAAATCCTCGTAGGGTCGACGCCAGGTGCCGTGACGGGATTGGTCGCCATGCTGGCCGTCTCCTCCTCCCCCTCCGGCTCCCCCAACTCCATCCGCAGCCGAAAAGACGCCGCCCTCACCCTCTTCAACCTCTCATTGGCCGAGAAAAACCGGGCAGCGATAATTTCTGCCGGGGCAGTGCCCCTATTGGTGGAGATGCTGCAGGAGTACGGGTCCGGGCTGGAGGAAAAAGCCACGGCTGTGCTGGTGAACCTGGGGAAAACCGGGCGGCTGGGGCGGGCGGCGATCCGGGCGGCGGGCGGGATACCGCTATTGGTGGAGGCGATGGAGTGTGGGTCGGAGAGGGGGAAAGAGGACGCAGTGGCGGCGCTGCTGATGCTGGCTGAGGACCCGGCGCTGCGAGATGAGATCGCGGCTGAGGGGGTGCTGCCGACTCTGGGTGTGCTGCAACGGTGCGGGACTCCTCGCGCGAGAGTGAAGGTGAGTTGTTGCTGGGACAAGCTGGTAACTTAGTTATGCATTCTAAAAAGCTACCTGCAGCGTTGAGGTGGAGGCGATGGAGTGTGGGTCGGAGAGGGGCAAGGAGGATGCTTCAGCGGCGCTGCTGATGCTGGCTGAGGACCCGGCGCTGCGAGATGAGATCGCGGATGAGGGGGTGCTTCCCACACTGGGTGCGCTGCAACGGTGCGGCACGCCAAGAGCATGGGTGAAGGTGAGTGGCGGATGGGAGGAGGGGTGGGGAACGGTAGCACCTTTGCTGTCCGAGGACCCGGCGCTGCGAGATGAGATTGCGGCTGACTGAGGGGGTGGGGTGCTGTCAACACTGGGTGTGCTGCAACGGTGCAGCACGCCAAGGGCGCGGGTATAGGTGAAGGTGAGTGAAGGTGAGTGAAGGTGAGTGAAGGTGAGTGAAGGTGAGTGAAGGTGAGTGAAGGTGAGTGAAGATGAGTGAAGGTGAGTGAAGATGAGTGAAGGTGAGTGAAGGTGAGTGAAGATGAGTGAAGGTGAGTGAAGATGAGTGAAGGTGAGTGAAGGTGAGTGAAGATGAGTGAAGGTGAGTGAAGGTGAGTGAAGGTGAGTGAAGGTGAGTGAAGGTGAGTGAAGGTGAGTGAAGGTGAGTGAAGGTGAGTGAAGGTGAGTGAAGGTGAGTGAAGGTGAGTTGTTTTGTTGATGGGTATGGGTGTGTGGGAAAGTGTATTGCGGGGAGGGTGCTGCTGACTCTTGGGGGAGCTGCAGCGGTGTGGGATGACGCGAGCGAGAGTGAAGGTGGGTCAATGAGAGTGAGGGTTGTTGGCGCTGTGGGGAACTCACTCTTAGCTCCCCACACTCCAGCCTCATGCCACGCTGGAGGTATGGAGAAGGGTGCGTATGCTGGCAGGGGACCCAGCACTGCGGGATGGGATCTCATCCCGCAGTGGAAGGGGTTCTTCTGTCTGCCCACTCTTGGGGCACTGCACCGCTCTCAGCTTCAGTAGGTAGCTATGTGCGTTCCGTTTAGGACAACGAAACGAAACGTAAGATGAAGATGGGAATGTGAGCCATAGGGATATGATATGATATGATATGATATGAGATGATATGATTGTGTCGTGGCGGGGGGCATGGCGTGCTGCCCACTCTGGGTGGTGGCGCTGCAGCGCTGTGGGTGGTACGGCGCGATCGTGAGTGAAGGTGAGAGCGGGCCGGATGGGGAGGGGTCGAGAAGAGGCGTGGTGTGGCATGGTGTGGCGTGGCTTGTTTGGATGTGGTTGGCTGGCATGGTGTGCTGTCTGTCTGGGAACGATTGGGGGATGCGGCATGCTGTGTGGTGTTGGTAAGAGGATGGAGGGTCCTTCAGCTGGGGGATGAGATTGTGGTGGGGCATGCTGCTTGCTTACACTAGGGGCGTTGCAGCAGTTTGGGACGCCGAGGGTGAGAGTGAAGATAAGAAAGGGGTGGGGGTAGGGCGGGTAGGGTGGGTGGGAGAATGGGGCGGGAAGATGTGTGGCTTGGTCATGCCCGCACTGCTCGCACTGCAGCAGCGTGGGACCATATTCTTCTTATCAAGAGTTTTACCTAAACTCTAAGCAAACACCCCATATGTTGCACCTAAACTATACGTGAGCAAATGGCTGAGTCGAGTAAAACTCGACTTCCTTCACCTTTCCTGCCCCCATGCCACATTTCCCACCAACCACACCCCCTTACATCTTGGGTCGATATTTTTTTTTTACCCCTCGACCCGAGGCGAGTTAAACTCAACTTGACGAGAGTAAAAAAATAACGGTTTTAGAAAAAGCTTGACCAATAATCAAGTTTTTTTTAGCTCGCGATTCAAATCGACTCGGAACGAGCAAGTTTTCCGGGAAAAATCGGCACTCATGACTCGCCCGAGGCAGGTGAAAATATGAACAAGTCGTGGTTTAACCCAAGCGGGATGTTCATGTGTCGAATGAACAGAAGCAATTGTGGCTGTCACGTAGCGTCATGGCACCTGTATGGGGCCCACATGCTGTAGTGTGGGCCTTTTGAAGCGCCTCAAAAGGCGCCCCCATGGAGCTACAGCACACCCCAGTGTGTGCTTATCTCACTGGGACACTCCAGGGCTGCTGGGAGCTGTAGCTAGCACTGGGTGTGATTAGATAGATGCGTGCTGTATGGCTGTTGAGTGTGAGATAAGCGCACTCGAGGGGGCTTGGGGGTGATGCAGCGGTGCAGCGCGGTGGGATTGAGGGTGAAGTCCCACGGTTCACTGCTTGTGACAAACAAACTCCCATGCGAGTCGCAGTGGTATTTTAGGTGACTCGATATCTTGTGAAAATTATAAGGAAACCTGTTCCACTGTGTCAGTATGTGGCTGACTCGTTTTTTGTCACGCCACGGCATAGCATACTGCCACTGTGTCTCGCACTGCGTTCAGTATGTGCCACTGCGTTCAGTATGTGCCACTGCGTTCAGTATGTGCCACTGCGTTCAGTATGTGCCACTGCGTTCAGTATGTGCCACTGCGTTCAGTATGTGCCACTGCGTTCAGTATGTGCCACTGCGTTCAGTATGTGCCACTGCGTTCAGTATGTGCCACTGCGTTCAGTATGTGCCACTGCGTTCAGTATGTGCCACTGCGTTCAGTATGTGCCACTGCGTTCAGTATGTGCCACTGCGTTCAGTATGTGCCACTGCGTTCAGTATGTGCCACTGCGTTCAGTATGTGCCACTGCGTTCAGTATGTGCCACTGCGTTCAGTATGTGCCACTGCGTTCAGTATGTGCCACTGCGTTCAGTATGTGCCACTGCGTTCAGTATGTGCCACTGCGTTCAGTATGTGCCACTGCGTTCAGTATGTGCCACTGCGTTCAGTATGTGCCACTGCGTTCAGTATGTGCCACTGCGAGACACAGTGTCACAGCATAGCATACTGCCACTCTGCTGCTGTATGGTCTCTGATGGATGGTTGGGTCAATGGGCAAAGGGGAATGGGTGGGTGGGGGAATGTGCAAGGGGAAATGGGTGTTTCAACTGTTGTGGGCGAACAAACGGCAGGAAGAGGTATGAAACGGTAGGCCAAGCTAGGCATGAAACGGTAGGCCAAGCTAGGCATGAAACGGTAGGCCAAGCTAGGCATGAAACGGTAGGCCAAGCTAGGCATGAAACGGTAGGCCAAGCTAGGCATGAAACGGTAGGCCAAGCTAGGCATGAAACGGTAGGCCAAGCTAGGCATGAAACGGTAGGCCAAGCTAGGCATGAAACGGTAGGCCAAGCTAGGCATGAAACGGTAGGCCAAGCTAGGCATGAAACGGTAGGCCAAGCTAGGCATGAAACGGTAGGCCAAGCTAGTCATGAAACGGTAGGCCAAGCTAGGCATGAAACGGTAGGCCAAGCTAGGCATGAAACGGTAGGCCAAGCTAGGCATGAAACGGTAGGCCAAGCTAGGCATGAAACGGTAGGCCAAGCTAGGCATGAAACGGTAGGCCAAGCTAGGACAGGGTTGGAAAAGGTGGGTGGGACGATGTGAGTTGATGCTGATGTGCTCTTTGGGAGCGGTGAATGGAGGGGGCGAGGGATGAATGGGGGAGATGAGGCTTGAGGATGAGGGGAGTAGAGGATGAGGGGAGTAGAGGATGAGGGGAGTAGAGGATGAGAGGGAATGGGGCATGAGAGGGAAAGGGTCATGAGAGGGATTGGGGCATAAAAGGGAGAAGCGAATTTTGCCGTGACTCACCTTCTCTCTTCCCACACTTACCCATCCTCCCTTGCACTTCTTATTTTTTAACCCTCCGACACACCCTCCCACCCCTTCCAACCGCTCTCCCATGCGTGATGCTGTCTTGTCATGTGCAGGCGGCACGTCTACTGGCCATCTTTCGAGCCAAGGACTACTGAGTCAATGCTGAGTCAACACTCAGTCAACACTCGGTCAACTCACAACTAATTCCAACCCCTCTCCCATGTGTGATGCTGTCTTGTCATGTGCAGGCGGCACGTCTACTGGCCATCTTTCGAGCCAAGGACTACTGAGTCAATGCTGAGTCAACACTCAGTCAACACTCGGTCAACTCACAACTAATTCCAACCCCTCTCCCATGCGTGATGCTGTCTTGTCATGTGCAGGTGGCACGGCTACTGGCCATCTTTCGAGCCAAGGACTACTGAGTCAATGCTGAGTCAACACTCAGTCAACACTCGGTCAACTCACAACTATTTCCAACCCCTCTCCCATGCGTGGCCCTGCCTTTTCGCGTGCAGGCGGCACGTCTACTGGCCATCTTTCGAGCCAAGGACTACTGAGTCAATGCTGAGTCAACACTCAGTCAACACTCGGTCAACTCACAACTAATTCCAACCCCTCTCCCATGCGTGGCCCTGCCTTTTCTCGTGCAGGCGGCACAGCTACTGGCCATGTTTCGAGCCAAGGACTACTCAGTCAATGCTGAGTCAACACTCAGTCAACACTCGGTCAACTCACAACTAATTCCAACCCCTCTCCCATGCGTGGCCCTGCCTTTTCTCGTGCAGGCGGCACGGTTACTGGCCATCTTTCGAGCCAAGGAGTACTGAGTCACACCATGGGTCTACACTGCGTGACCACAGCACAGAGTCAACTCAACCCCTTGGACTGTTAAGCCCGGCCTGTTGGCCTGCTGACTCCTGTGTGGCTTTAAAGACCCCCCCGAGAGTGCAACTCAACACTGCTCCTCCCTCCCACTGCTTGACCCGAGGCTCGCACGCTCTCAAGTGGTCGTGCTTCGCTGCGTGCTCCTGTGGCATGGAGACTCATGGCAGCACGGAGGGTGGGCGGGCACGAGCCACAAGCGGCTGCCTTCGCAGGGAACCTCCTCTCGCTGTGCCTTGAGCTGGCGTGTTGCGTACCTGCACTGGGTGGCATGGGTGGCATGGGTGGCATGGTGGCATGGGTGGCATGGGTAGCTTGGGTGGCATGGCATCGCATGTGTCGCATGGGTGGCATGGATGGCATGGCACATGATACTGACACTTCCATTACAGCTTATGGCCCAGATCTTTGTATGGATGCATGCAATAATGCATGTGCTGCAAGCGTGCATGTGCACGCCACATGTTACGTGGTTTGTTGATGGCATGTGAGTTCGGACTTGGGGATGCATGCATGCATCAATGCGTAGCATACGGGATGAATGGGATGTGTACCGGTGGTACCTACTGCCTGGTTGTAATTCTGTCTTGATCAAAATTAGGTATCGAGTCATGGATAGATATACAGTACAGAGCACTTGGCCATGAAATCCCAGTACATGGTGCAAGCGCTCTATGGCATTGCAGTAATTTACATTGACTGCTGGTGATCAAATTAGCAATGCAAGCAAGCTGTTGATTGGTTAGTGAGAATTTCAGACATCCCATAGTCAGTGCTGTGCTGGTAGGTACGGTGCTGGGCGGGAAACATGAGATGGCATGAATATATTATGCACACCTAGCAGGTTGGGCTTCGGGAGGTGATGGGACAGTGGGACTGATGCCATAGGTAAAGCAAGGGTCCACCCACCACCAGCTCGTCCGCGACGCAATCCATCAAACAGTACCGTCAAGTCGAACATGCCAACAAATACTATCAATACCCAGAATATGTATGTACCCATCCTATCCAGGTACGTACTACTTTCCCCCAATTGATCTATTCCCCAAGAGTCTACCATCAACAAAACCACTGTCCAGATTTGGAATCTTGGAGATGGTCTCATCCTCGTCCGTGAAGTTTGGGCATGCCATGACCACGAGGCTCCTGAGGCTGGTGAGGCTGGTCATAGCCTTGGGCAGGGAGACTAGGTTGGGCCAGAAACTTAGACTTAGCCGCTGCAACCGTGAAAGATTTGCAATCCTGTCTGGAAGCGAAACTAGATGGGAGAAGCCAAACAGGAAGAGGGTTGATAGTTTTGTGAGCCCGCAAACGTAAAACATGAAGTCTTCTTCATCCTTGCTTCTGGCCGTGACGTTGGCTGGCCAACCAAACTCAAAGGCTGTGAGGCTGCTCCAAAAGCTAAGCAGATATGGACAGAATTTGGAAATGCTGTCGCAGTGGTTGAAAGAGAGGTTGCGGAGATTGGAGAGCTTGGAGAAGATAACTGGAATGTAAGTAATGCTCCTGAGTTGGCACAGCTCGAGATGCTCCAGAGATGGCAGGCGACCCATGCTCTCTGGAAGGTCCCCGAGCCTTGGGCAATTTCTGAGGACCAGCACACGGAGGTTAGTAATACTGCAGAGGGAGTCGGAAAGCAAAGTATAATGTCGGCAGTTCTTGATGGTTAGCGTCGTGAGAGAAACGAGGCCTGACACAGCGCTTGGAAGGGAATTAAAACTTTCACATTTCACAATCTCAAGGACTCGAAGAGAAGTCAGCTGGAAAAAGGAGTCTGGGAGTTCGGTAACTAAGGAAATGCTAATCAAGTAACACTCTTGGAGGTTTTGGAGCTGGCCGATAGTGTCAGGAAGAGCCTCTAGTACATCCGATTCTTTCAGGCTGAGTCGGATCAGTGACTTCACGTCACACCAGGCATCCGGTAGTTCTTCGAAGCCATTGTTATAACTTATCTCTAGATCAGTCAGTCCGGTGAGCCGACCAAATGACGTCGGGAGGGCATAATTCCACGAGGTGGCGAAAGTTAGCTTAGTCAGGGACTTCAAATTGTCAAACAGATCAGGTATATCTTCGACACTCACGCGCCATTTGACCTCTGTCGAGGATGTAAGGCTAAAAAAGGATGGTGGCAAATCACAATCTCTGTTATCGCAGGCTGCCATTATATCAAGGGAGAGGTACTGCAACGCAGTGCACGCTGTAAAGAGGGCATCTAAGCCTTCATACGTCAACCCTTCTTCAAAACCGTTGCTAAGGTCAAGATGAGTTAACCTGGGACAGATAGATCCTAGGCCACGGATGAACTCGTCATTACTCGGGTCGATAACGCACTTGTTGATCGTGAGAGAAGTTAATCCTTTGAACTGGGAGAGAGATTTTAAAAGGGTAGCATCTGTTGTAAGGCAAGGCGGACTGTTGGCGATAGACGTCTGTGCAAGGTAGGCGAGGCAATTCCAACGCTTACAGACTAACGCATGACTGAAGTAGCTGGGTGACTGCTTGTTCAGACAACGGAAAATGAGGCAGATAAGCTCGTCCGGCAGCTGATTAAACGACATTCGCAACATGACTCTACCGCGATGCGAGACCAGGCGTGGCGACGCTGAATTTCTATTATCTACAACGTCGGAAAGTAAGAAACAAACGCAGGATCTAGACTGGTGGACTTACAACTAAGAATCCTCTCTAGTTTGAGACCTGGCTATTTTGGCTTGGTTTCGCTGTCTGCATCTGCTCGGAGGGGAACCTGTTCGAGGGTTTCTAGTACAGCTGATGCTCACCCCATGCGCGCGAATTTGCCTTGCGCCGGATGGATACGCTGCACCCGAGGTTGTTTCCTCAGCTTCATGCACCCACATTACAAGCGCGTCAAGCAGAAGAGACCGAAGTCAAGCAGAAGAGACTGAAGTCAAACTAGGTAACTAGGTAGCAGGGTCTTGTTTATAAGCACATGCGAATTCTTTTTAGCTAGCTGCGAATTGACGAACTTATGCGAAATGCACGATACAGCTTATACGCCCCCTTCACAAGGCAACCGGGAGGGGCTCAATCAGGCATCAGTTTGTACAGGATGGCCTTGGAGCAGATGGACTTCGACACGACTTTCTTGGGTGCTGTGGGGTGCTTGTTACCATAGTAACAAGCTCGCGGTTCGCGCAAAGACGAAGCGTCAACGCTAGGTTGACCACGTGAAGCCCGACAACTGTAATGTCGTCAACTCCAAACCTCGTACATGGTAGCCAGTTACCATGTCGTTCCCGCCTCAGTTCCATTTCTCGCGTCAGTTCGCAATTGACGTCCCTCGGCTGGAAACGAGCCCTCGATTGCTGCCTGACTGGCGTGGCGAAACCCATCCAGTATCGGGGCTCCCAGTCAAGGTGCAAAACCGAGCTGGGTAACAAAGTGGACGAAACCAACTCATCGTCGTTGTAATGAATATACATTCATTACTGTAGAGGCTGCTCCTAGCGAGGACAGCCCGAACACTGCGCGTCAGTTTCAGGTTCGGCCTACATTTCGGACCGAACCACTACCGAGTGTCAGAACATTATAGCTTATATATTTGTGTAGGCTATAGTGGGGTATCCCATAGGGGGTACAACCCAATTAGGGTTTCCTATATGTACTCACTTCATTCATAGTTCACTCATTCTCGTTCACTTATTCTCATGGTATCGAGCAGGTTCCCCTGTGGGAACTGTTCGTAGGGCCCACCACTGCTACCTCGTAACTTTTTTTTTCTGCCCGGAGCGCGCTCCGGGCCCTAGTACTTCTTTTTTTTCGATCTGCCCTAGCGCTCTGACGGCCGCCCGCCCTAGCGCCCGAGCGCCGCCGCCCTAGCGTCCTGACGGCAGCCCGCCCTAGTGCCCTGACGGCCGCCCGCCCTAGCGTCCGAGCGCCGCCCGCCCTAGCGCCCGAGCGCCGCCCGCCCTAGCGCCCGAGCGCCGCCCGCCCTAGCGCCCTGACGGCCGCCCGCTCTAGCGCCCGAACGCCGCCCGCCCTAGCGCCCTGACGGCCGCCCGCCCTAACGCCCTGACGGCCGCTCGTCCTAGCGCCCGGCGCCGCCCGCCCTAGCGCCCGAGCGCCGCCCGCCCTAGCGCCCGAGCGCCGCCCGCCCTAGCGCCCTGACGGCCGCCCGCCCTAGCGCCCGAGCGCCGCTCGCCCTAGCGCCCTGACGGCCGCCCGCCCTAGCGCCCTGACGGCCGCCCGCCCTGACGCCTGAGCGCCGCCCGCCCTAGCGCCCTGACGGCCGCCCGCCCTGACGCCTGAGCGCCGCCCGTCGTCGCCCCAGCGCCCTAGCGCCCGACGCCCGCGAGCTGCCCGTCGCAGCCGCCCGTGAGCTGCCTGTACGCCGCCCGCCGAGCCGCCCGTGCACCCGCCCAGCGTGAGCCGCCCACGACCGCCCAGGCCGCCGTCCCTGAGCCGCCCGTGCCGCCGTCCCTGAGCCGCCTGTGCAGCCGCCCGCGAGCCGCCGGTGCAGCCGCCTGCGAACCGCCAGCGAGCCGCCCGTCGCGCCGCCCGAGCCGCCCGTGCAGCCGAGCCGCCCCAGCCGCCCGTGCAGCCGAGCCGCCCTAGCCGCCCGAGCAGCAGACCCGCCCGAGCCTCCCGAGCCGCCCGAGCCGCCCGCGCCGCCCCAGCAGCCCGAGCCGCCCGAGCCGCCCGGGCAACCTGAGGAGCCGAGCTCCTGCTCCTGCGGGGCTGCTGCTGCTCCGAGGCTTACGCAGCTGCTGTTCTGCCGCGTTGCTGCGCCGCTGTGCTACCCGACTCTTCCTGCCCGGTGAGACTATCAGCTGCTGCAATGGCCACCCCCAGTGTCCTGGCTTTTGACGCTGAGGGTCGCGCCATTGACTTTGCAGTCTGGATTGAGGACCTGCAGCTGTACTTACTGTGCGATGCGATCGATGAGGTTTCTCTCTTTGACTTTGTCTCTGGAGCTGTCCCTGCC